TTGTATGTTCGAGCGCTTTTCCGAACATTTTTTCTTAAAGTTTTCTTAGAAGAAGATTGTAATGGGAAAAAAGATCCTTGTGCCGTGTTTTGATGTAATAACGATCGCCTTTTCCGGAGAAATATACAGCGAAAGACCATATTTCTAATACTAAACTAGAAAAAGGCGATCATTATTACATCCAAACACGGCACAAGGATCTTTTTTCCCATTACAGTCTTACTCTAAGAAAACTTAAAAAAAAAAAAAAATGTCCCGAAAAGGGCTCGAAAATACAAACGAAATGTGCTCATGCCCCCTGGGCATCCTATAATACTCCTTAAATCGAACTAATCCGATATGGCCTCCGTATCGGAACAAAGGTCTATTGATCGGCAAAAAAAATTTCACTAGGGCTGTGACGGGAAAAATTGCACTTGAAAGTATGTCGAAGCACATGTATCATTCAGGAGCTATAGAGAGCTATTCTACTTGAAGTAGCTTTTTCTTAAGCAGACTACATCTACGAATTGCTGAAGTGTTAGTTCCTTCATTGCTTTAAATTCATTTATCATCATGCTTTTTAAAGATTGATTTGTTGATCTCTTTCCAAAAACTTGGCCAAATTCAGCGCGTGCATGTTAGGGCTTCGCAGTAATTTTTTACTTTATCAGTCACTTTCGGTGTGTCGAGCCTTGTTTAACTTCGCGGGTAAAGAAGATGTGCGAGTGCTTCGGTCTTTTGTTTATATATCAGACTTCTACAGAGAATTACTTGAAATTGATGAGTGATAGATGTTATCTTTTTCCAGTTTGTAACTTTGCAAATGCACTTGTCACGGAGAATATTTGGATTATGGGGTTGATTTCCAGTGTCGCGTAATTTTTCCGTGCGCGTACGAACGCTCTTAAAATTTATGTGCGTAAATCAAATAGAGGCAATGTGTGAAAGCCGCGAGTGAACGTAAAAGTTGAGCGAGGATCAACCTTTACGTTTACGCATGACCTTCCATATATTTTGCCACCATTTTACACATGATAATGAAAATCCACCGTTAATTACAGTAGCCTAAGAAACGAGCCCAGAAATTCCATACTGATGACGTGTCACAACCCACACCTGGCCGTGGGCGGTATTTCCAAGTTAACCTAAAAAGGTTCTTATTGCAACGGAAGTTAGGCTATTAAGGTTCTTGAATATGTTCCTATTTTCTAAAGAAAAAATATATATATGCGATAGGCGAGCCGGCTGCACTGCAGGCTATTTAAATGTAGCCTGAGAAAGCAGTCGACATTTCGAGACGCCGCCACTGGTTTCCAGCGAAAAGACGTCTGAGAAACGAGAACAGAAATTCTACATGTATACTGATTACGTGCACTCTCCAGATCTGGGTAGAGCTTCTGATTGGTTGAAAATTTGCTTCATCTTTTCAGAAGTACAATAAAACCTCCCGGCTGAGAACCTGTATTTTAGGAACCCGTTAGGCTAAAATTTGCCAGTTAAGCCTCCTCTATATATAAGACCTTGTTAAGCCTAAAATTTGAAATAGGTTATTGTTTTCTAAAATCTATGAAAAAATTATGTACATTTGGGCAAATAAGATAAGGCAACATTCAGAATCCCCTTTTGAGAGATGGGTGCCTT